TGTCGGTTCCTCCTCGTGGTGGACGGTGGAAACGAGGGTTTTACCCTCGGCTAAACGCCGACAAAATTGGTGCTAGTTTTGGCAGTAATACACAGGGGTCGATACTTTAGTCTATTTGATGTTTCATGACCCCTGGTAGCACCTTTTTCAGATAAATACATCTTTGACTTATAGTTTTTGACCATTCTCACGATTTCTTTAACTTATTCATTCATCTTATTGATTTCTATAATATATTTCAGGAGACAAATAATTATATGCCTAGAAAAAACACAGATGATTAACAAATAAAATATCAGAACACATGAATTAGAGCATCTTAGCTTTTTCATCAATACGATTTTGATTTTGGGGCTAAAATGCTCCTTCCTCAAATATAAATTTAGAAGTTTTGTAATGACAAGCGTCCAAAGATTTGCCATTGATTTTGCGTAGAAATAATTTATCAATTGATCGAGATTTAATCTGTTGGAGAAGAGGAGGAAGAGAAAGATAAAGTAGTAGAGAGAGAGGAGCAGAAAAAAAAGAGAGAAGAAAAGAAGGTACAGAAAATGAAGGAGGAGAGAGAGGAGAAAAATGAGGAGAAAGGTGTAGTTGCTCAGAGCGCCTTGAAGAGTATTGCTTCGACAGAGCCTTACACCCTGTTTACGGCCGTTCTTTCCCGGGTTCACGGTCAAAAAGCAATCCGGTGGTATCGATCGAACAGAGGCCGCAGATCGTAAAATCAGTATCATCCAACACAGCGGTAAACAATGGTTTAGTCAGTCAATTTCGTACGTCAGTGCGCCTTCAATTACGACTAATACTGTGCAATACTTCTGTGGTGGAATAGTTGCTCAGAGCGCCTTCAAGACTATCGTTTCGACTTGATGGCAAAATATCACGATTACTTTTGGAAACCCTCGCAATAGCTTGCGCGCAGTTGCGCATATTCTTAGCACCTACGGTGAAGTTAAAAAACATTCATACCTACATTTGCGACGTTGCATTTTTTTCGCAACGAGGGGCTAGAAAACACAGTCAGGAACGAATAATTAAAATAAATTTTTGGGTGATATTTCCATTCCCGGCATCGAAATTAAATAAAGTCCATTTGAATATCGCGCGACGGTAAAATCGAGGAAAATAACGACGGAGTAAGATGAAAGAGAGGGTTTACGTGCGCAGAGGCGCTATTGCCAATTTTTCCCAATAAAAATAATCCCGTCCATGGTGAGTCTTTCGTACATTGGAGATACAGTCAAGGCAAGTGGGCTTTCAACAGGGACAACATCACCTTGGAATTATGTCAAAAACTAAATATGTTTGAGGTTCACTCAAAATGGACAGTGAGCTTGTGGAGTTATGGGGTAGCATTCTGGTCCGTGTTTTTGAACCAAAATTTCGCGCGGCAAAAATTACTGAAATTATCTTCCAACTAAGCTATTGAAAGTTTTTCGATGCTTCAATTCTAACCTTCCGCTCATGGAAAAATAAAAGTCTGCTTGAGACAAATCACGCACTAAGCGTTTTACCGTGTTAGCCTCTGCGGTGATGGCAACCTCCGTTTCGGTGCTTCGGCTCAGCTTTTGCACGTTGTCAACACTTTGAATGTTACATAAGACGGGGAAGGACCATTGCTCGATGAAGAAGCCTGAGAAAACTGTTCTAGTGCGTGATCTGGTGCATGTGAGCGGGAAATTCACAATTCCTGTAATGAATGTGAACTTGAAACGTTCATATCTTACTTAGTAATTGATATCAGTCATTTTCGTTCCTCGTTCATATGCACGGAGAAAAAAAACTCGTGCGTGGGACCCGAAGTTTAGGTCATATGGATCTCTGAAGTTTTCAGATTGAGCATCTGAACACTTTAGTTCTAGCTGCTGAGGTTCGGATCACACATCTGAAACTTCGGTTCTCACATCCGAGGTACTTTGGTTCTCACATCTGAAGTACTTCAGATGTAAGAACTGAAGTTTCAGATGTGTGATCCGAACTTCGGCAGCTAGACCTAAAGTGTTCAGATGCTCAATCTGAAAACTTCAGAGATCCATATGACCTAAACTTCGGGTCCCACGCACGAGTTTTTTTTCTCCGTGTGCGCAAATCCTGTACAACGTGAAATTTCGCTAAAGAAAATTGTATCAGAATGCTTAAATTTGTGTCTTGACTACCACTCCATTTGCGATTCTTTCATTTTTGAAAATTAGACAATGCACCTAGTTCGTAGAGAATTTTTCGGATTCCTTTGAACGGTATTTTGACACACAAATAAGAGTTAAGCACACCAACTCGAGGTTGCGTACTTAGAGCACCCACTGAAACAAGCGTCGCTGAGCAAACCGTTGATGGCGTCCGAAAATATCCCTCTCGTCGCAGTCACGATCTCCATG